CTTAACTTTTTTTTTTAAGTTTTATTAATTTTAAATTTCATCATTCAATAAAAGTTGATGTTGTTTTGTTTTTTTTTTTCAATTTAACCCTTATTCTTTTGATTTCTTTTTCTTTTTGTTAAAGTTTTTTTATTTTTTATTTCACCCTCCAGTTTAATTTTTTTAATGCCCTCTAATTTATTTATTTTTTTTCACCCTCATTAGTTTAGTTATAACTTTTTGTGTGATTATTTTTTCTTCCAATTTGATCATTTATTGTTTTATTTTTTAGGATTAGGTTCATGTTTTTTATTTATTTATTTGTGGACCTTCTAATATAATGACACGGATCACAAATTTGAAAAGTTAATACAGTTTGATATTTTTTTTCTTTCATGATTTTATCATTCTACATTATTAATATTTAAAAAAAAGATTATTTTTGTGATTATCTTTAATTTATTTTCTATCGATTTATCTTAATCTCATGATCCAAACCATGATTTTTGCAACTTTTTTTAATAAAATATTTTTTATATTTAATTTTTAAAGAATTATTTTTATACAAATAAAATTTATTTTATAAAAATAATATTTTTAATATACTCGGCCTTGCATAATCTTTTTTTATTTTATTCAATTAGTTTCATATATTTTTCTATTTTTATTGGTTTCAATAAATAAATTTAGTAGATGCAAACGAGTAAATATCTTATTTTATTTAATCAAATATCTTAATATGCATCTTACTTTTAATTTTTCAGCTTCTCTTTTAATTGCCATTAATGATCTTTTTATTTATTTACATAAATAATTATTGATTTTATTTTATTACATGTTTTTATAAGTTTTTCAATTTATATTTTAAATTTTTTATATTAAAAAATATATCAAAATAGCATGCATATCTAATAATTTTAAAAACAATTATGACCTATAGTGGAGTACACTTCAAATAGCAAGTGTATTTTATATAGTGTAGCAATTTCTTTAAATGCATTAAAAGTGTACATCTCATCTATTTATATGTCAAGTATATAATTTCACATATTTTTTCTTTACCTTATATAAAATTCTTAAAATAGATGCTATTTTTTAAAAGAGTAATATTATAGTTATTATCTATAAATTGCTTATGTGCCAATATATTTATGTTTTAACCAGTAAAGTTTTGATATCTATTAAAAACTTAAATATACACGCTCAGTCTATCTTGTCACCCATGTAGATAACGAAAATCAGAACATTGATATACTATAATTTAAAAAAGAGAAGGCATGATAAAAGCCTTTAAAGATAATTACTTTGTATCACAGTTGTTCGACATAGATTTATCGTAAATTATTTTTTTCTTATACTATAAAAAAGTGTTATCATAATAAGTTGTATTATATTGGATTAGGGATTATGGACGTATAGTTTATTATAATAAAAATATATAAAATATAAAAAATTATTCAAAGTAAGATTACAATGCATGTGATTTTAAATCTATAAACATATAAAATAAAATTTAACATAAATATGCTTTCAATATAAATATAATAAAAAAATACTAGCATGTATAGATTATATATTCAAACTTGTAATATATATATATAAGGTTAAAGTTCTAGCATGTATATTAATAATAAAAATAACAATGTTTAAATTAAATTAAACTAAATACTTTCAAGAAATATAATTTTGTTGTTTTTAATAATAAATTATTTATTTTTAAATTTTTATTATTTTTTATTTGTGCAACTAGCATGGTTACAATATGTTTTTTATGATTCAAACAATTTCAAGTTGAAGCGCAGTGAATTCTGGCTGCAGAAAACTTTCTCCGAGAGAGGATTTTCCATACCGAGAAATGATGACAAATGCAATAATTCAACTACCTCGGTGACTACTAGAATGATCCAGGTCCTTGAATTTGTTTCAAACTCGAAGGTAGAAGAAAGAAGGAAGAACGACAAGGAATAATCGAGGCCGATAATTACAATTAAAAATGACACAACACATGCATACGCAAGATATTTTACTGGAGTTTCCGCGCAAGCCACGAGCTGGCAACTGTTGATTGTTTTTATTTCTTGTTTGGAACTGGAAAGAAGTTTCTGATTGAATTTTATCTTCACTTCCGTTTCCTACCGAATATGTTCTCTCTCTTTCCATCTTTATTTCCTTTTGCCGACGATGCCCTGTTGGCCACTGGGACCAGATATAGTCATCCTAATGGGCCAACAAATGACAGAGGGTTGCTTCTTCCCTGCAAATGGAACCATTCTTTTCTTGGAGCTCATATCTATTCCCATTCCCTCTATCTTTTTTCAACTCTCCTTTTCCCGTCTGCCCTTTCTTGTTTTTCGTTCTCTTGTTCTAGCAAGTAGAATATTTACCATACTGCTGCGTTGCCTTTGGTGTTCATTCAAGAGCATTGCATTGGAGACTGACTGTCACATTCTATCACAACGCATCATCCATCTGGTGGAGCACACCTTCCTGCCTTGAAGGTTGGAAAAGATCACCAGGCAATTCCATTTTTATGGTAATTCCTAGATGGCAATCATGCTCGGACATTTTATGGTACAAGCGACTGTGGATCCATGCATTCATCCACATATATGTGGGAACCGCACCTTTTTCACATCTGGATTCTGTTTTAAAATCAGATTCAATTCCAAAGCATTTTCAAAGTCTGGGAAGCTTCCAACGTAATAAACATCCATTTCTCTCTTGTCATTGATCATTATCTGGCTACGCCCAGAAGATTCTCCAACGTCCCTTCTACATTTTTAATTCATGTAATCTACGATATGCCTTCAAGGTATGTATCTATCCATGGTGAGTATTGAAAATGGCCTGCCAGACTTGAGATCAGCGCTTTAAACAACTGCTGTTATGCATTATTAGTTCAGAAAGAAGGGGAAAACCTTTGATCCTGCTTCTGCGTGGATCCATCCTTGTGGGTTTTCTCTGGTGCTAACAGCTAAACAATATGCGATCAGATGCATAAATTGGGTTGAAAATGTTGAAAGCCTTGCTGAAGCTCGTATTAAAAGTAAGAACTAAAGAAGAAATGAGACGGCTTTCGGCCCAGCCTTGTTAATTGGGTCCTGATGGGCTTCGGCGGCCGAAGTTCAAACTCTATTTCTGCTTATCTGTTATGAATTAAAATTCATAAAAGAGTTTTTTATGGTGATTAGGAGTGACTCGTATCATTATATTAATTATTCCATGTATTCATCTTTAAAAAAAATATGAATATATATATAAAAAATAATTTATGACCCACAAAAAATTATAAGAATATTTCTATTTAGGAATTATTTATCCTATTTATATCTATTCTTTCTTTAAAATTGTCCTAGGAAAAAACTAATAAAATATTATTAAATACTCCCTAAATGCCATAGAAAAATTTGCATTAGCCATACTCATTTAATAAATGTGTTAAAAAAAATATCACATCTCGTCATCAAATTTTCCCACCTTATTTGCTTCTCTTTCAATTTTTTTATTTCTCAAAAAAGAATAATACAAAATAAATTAGAGAACAACGTATAATTGACAAAAAATCAATTTATAAACAAATTTGAGATGGTGGAGACAGGAGATTTTATATATATGTTTCGCAAAACTAATGGGTGCTGACTAATTGAATATGTTAAAATACAGGGGCTAAGTAATAATTGACTCTCAGTTAATTGCAATAGTGTTCGAGATTAGGGGAATTATTGTTTTTTAAAGTATTTTTTGTTTAAAAATATATTAAAATAATATTTTTATTTTAAAAATTTATTTTTTACATCAGGATATTAAAATAAAAAAAATAAAATTTTTTAAAAATATTTTTAACAACAAAACAAACAAAGCCCAGTACAGCCGTTGAGCAACTTATAGGCATACTTCCTCTAGTGCATCCATGCTCGTCACGGGCTAGCAGTGACTAGTGACGGGCTTAAATGCAAACTTTGATCGGAATTAGCAGGTAGAAGGAACAAAGTTGATGTGTCATTATTGCACCTGCGGGACATCATGCTTTCACGGTATCTTTATTACGAAGATTATTATGATGGCATTGAACAGTCTGCTTCTCTGCTTCCCGGAGGCACAAACAAGTGGGTGCCTTGATTTTGGTCCCCAGACACACACTCTTTGTTTCTGCCAGACAACTTACGGAGCTCTTCTGGTTCATTGAGATTCATCCTATAACACCGGCACCTAAAGTTTGGTCCTAGATGCTATGCCATGTTGTTCTTAACATTAAGATAGCTAGCACCCCGTTAACGAATGGCTAATCCCTCTTCTGAGGAAAACTCAACGCTGCTGTGCACGGTTACAGTGCTGCAGGCTTTACATGTGAAGTGGTATATTATATCGAAGTCCTTGACTGGTCATGTATGAACCGAAAGCAGTGTAACCAGTTAAGGATTCGATTAATTAATGTAGGTAGAGTAGCTGGAAGTGAGACCTTGAAACTCTAAAGAACGTGTCCTTTGGAGTTTTTCTCAGGCCTGAATAACAGATGCACATGCTATGCATGTGCTCTTCTCAGATGACATGATTAGTTCCTAGCGATGGGATTCGATTGTCCTTCAACGTCTACACATTAGTACATTTTTAGATTTTGTCCATAGCCACGTTTCCTCCAGCATGCTAGAGAGCTGGAGAGTAGAGAACGATCTCTCTTAATCTTGAGCAGGGCAGGTCTAGATCAGGAGTAATGCCTGAAGCTGCCTTTTCTCTAGTTTCATAGATCTCCAGGGATTCTTTATATCACTGGTCAATGGATTAGACAGACAAAACGACAACACGGGAGCATTTCGCAATAGATGCAGAAATTTCTACAGCCAAATCCATTTTCCAATACGTGGCCCCTTGGGACTGGTTATATGTTCAAAAGTTCAACTATGCTATTAGACCCTTAAAAGAAGGGTGTTTTACAACTCTAATTTCCCAGGAGACATTAAAACATGAGAGGCCTCTTTTAGTTCCCTCCGATGGCCACCACATGAACGAAAAGAGAGAACATGGGACACTCAAAATTCCTAGTATCACTCAAAATTTGTACGGCCAAAGGACCACATATGATCTTGGTTTCCTTTTTTTCTTCCATCTTTTCTCCGATCTAACGCATTTCGCAATCAATGGCCGATGCATGGTAATTCATGACGCGCACATAGGGAAAGTTACTTGATATTTCCATCACTCACGCTGCAAACATGATGAGAAATGGAATAAATATATACCATGGCAGACAATCTAAAAAATGCAATCGGCCAGTCAAGGCACGTTTTTCATCTTCTTTTCTCTGATTTGCGAGATTGATTCCACAAGGTACAAGAAGAAATATACCTTCGTTTCTGCTATATCAACTTCCAAAATCTTCAACTATGCATGTTAGGACCCTGTTCCTACTAACTTGATATGGGACTTTTTTTTGCACAAGATTCAGCAATAATCCGACTGCATACCACGGGCTTTAAGAACTTTTACCGATTGATATTGTTGCCAGGCCGCAACAAAATTGATAGAATTTCGGAGAACTTAGGGCGCTTTGATGGGGAATTGTTCCAGCACTTGATCATCAGAAATTTCAGGAGTTGCGGGCAGTCCTTAGGGATCTCAGGTCTTAGGCCACAAGCAGCTATACCAACTGCTGCCTGCACAGGTGAATATGCAGCATAAGCAGACTCGCCAGTCACCATCTCCCAAACCACCATCCCGAAACTATATGCATTACTCATCCATGTCTCGGTTATGTTCTCTGGATCACCTGCAATTATCTGTTTTCAACCAGAAATGGTAGATCATCAATTCATCTGTGTTCCTGTTTAGGGAGGGAAATTTATGTATCATTATGGCCACAGCACTTGGATTGGATAACTGCAACTTACCTAGTTGAATCTCCTTTCAGGAGTTACATCAAGTTGAATATTATCATCATATGTATATTGATCCTATAGGCAAATGGAATTGAAAAAAGTTTGTGCCCACGTATTGGCTTACAAATTAGGTATTGAAAAGGACCGCTAATCATGCCTAAAGTTCAAGAGATCAAATCAGCGGGCTCCACTAACTAAAACATTTTGCTAAAAGTGGCACCAAAACAATATTGTAGTGGCTGGGATGATTTGTCTAATGGAGAATATAGGGGTGTTTATGCAAAGATAAATGTTAAGTTGAGATGTAAAGCAAGAACAATTATGAAGACATGTTGCGCATGCTCAAGCAATTATGTTGGGATGAGTGGTATAAAGTCTCTTTCAGCATATTTGAGTGAACCAGATAGTGCCTTCCTACATTGATTCTAAGCAATGTCCTTGAACACAGGTGTAACATCGTTTATCACAAAAAGATACTCCTACTAAAGATAGGCAATTAAATTTACAGTATTCTCCTGGTTAAATTTACAGTAACAGGTAGGCAATTAAAGATAAGAATGGCATGATATTTCACGGTGACAGTTAAAGGTGCTTAAATGTATTCGTAGCCAAATAATTAACTTTGAACCCAGCTACACAACAAAAGGTGCAGCACCTATATGCAAACTAGCTCAAAATACACCAAAGATCCCTCAAGAACTAAAATATCCCAACATCAAAACAACACAATAAGTCGATATCCTACAGGGCATTGATGCATGGCATGGAATTGCGATTACGTACCAAAAATTATGATAATCAAAACAAAATTTCAAATGCAAGCTAATCGACTGGTTTCATTGTCCATCTATGCAAAACACGCTTTGATCATTGCTAGGTTCATGGCCGTGACAAGTGCTTATCCAATGGATAGTTGTGATCAGAATTGACTTCTTTCAAAGACATGAATTTTGAAACTTGTGAAGAAACATAGGGAACAAACCTCTGGAGCTAGCCAACGATAACCATCTGTTTCATACTCCATCGCCTCACCCATGCTCTTGCAAGCAGTGACTATGCCCATGTCCCCTAAGCAAGCATTCCCGTGCCGGTCCAACATAATTCGTTGCGTGTTAAGGTCTCTATATGCAACACCATGATCATTCATAAACTTTATCCCTTCTGCTACATCTGTAGCAATTCTTACTATTTCCTTAGTTTGAAGTTTTTTATTCTTTAGCATTAGCTCATTAACAGATCCACCTTCCATCAATTTGGTCACCACACACAATCCATGATTTTCATCAACACAAATTCCATAAAATTGAAGAATGTTCTTATGCCCGCAAGTCATCAGTTCCAAAAGATCTTTACGGAGCTCGAACTCATAAGAATTCCCTTTATCACACCCTTTAAGCTTCTCAATTCCCACCCTTTTGCCCTTGTGAACTCCCTTAAAGGAATTTGGTCCAATCTGATCAATGAATTCAAGATTATCAGAGTTCAAAAGCCATTTTCCTATCTCATCCCTGCCAGAATTAACTGTTTGCCACTCATCGACGGATACAACAATCGACGAAGTGGGTAAGGGCATCTCAAGCTGAATATTCACATTTGAAATCTCAATGGCATTCCTACAATTCTGTTCACAAGAATCCTCTTCAATTTCACCAAAGTTTCCTTTAGTATTCTCTTCTTGACACCCACAAAGCCCGAAGGGAAGCTTCACAGTGGTGGATTTGGACTTCTTTACAGAAGATTTTAAAGCGCTTTCTATCCGAGCTCTAAATGATTTCTCTTGTCCAACTTGGACTAAAATAAGAACAACCCCAAGAGTAAACCCTTTCTTTTCAAAGATCTGAATCTTCTTGCAACAAATGGAAGCGCTATCCAATGCACCAGACATTGCGGGCCACGAAATGGACGAGTTGCAAGCAAATGTGAGTTTGTATACACAGCCCTGTACCTCATCATCAGACACTTCTTGTATCATTATTGCTGGTTGCTCGTCAACTGATGTCTGCTCTATCAACTTAATGTGCAAAAACACTTCTTTCATATCAAACCCTGCCTGAGCATAACTGTCAAAAACACCAAATTTACCAAAAAAGAAGAAAGGGCAACAATTATGCATAGAACGCAAGAACAACCGGAAACTTTGTAGACAAAAGGTAAATTCCTGTAAAAGCTTTTAGCTTTTTTCAGTATATTGGATTAAATCTCAAATTCTAGCACTAATGTTATCTTTGTATTGGTAGACCACCAAAAAATAAATCAAAATGGTGCGCTTTCTTTGCAAAATAGAGTGGCAGTGTTACTCCTCAAAAAAAGTGTGTTTGTCTAATTTTCCTCCATTTTCGTGGCAATCAAACAAAACCCAGTGCAAAATTATAGAGTAAAGCAAGATTGGATCACCAATAAAAACCAAACCTGAGTGGCAAAGAATCATAGTGCTTCCTGATATTGGACACAAGCTTCTCGGGCAACTGGCTCCCCGGATACAGCTGAGTGAGGTTCCTTACAACACTTGCCCACACAACCTTTCTGCATCTCTCGCTCTTATTACCATTTGCATTACCCTGTTGGGAGCTCGTTAGCTGCACTAGTGAGTCACGTGGTGAATCAAGATTCAATGAGTTTTTAAGTGAAGCAATGGCTTCAGACACATTTCGACTCAATCTTTGAAGCCTTTTTTGCATTGCAGATGACGAGGAAATGGTGTCTTTAAGTGAATGATTTGAGATTTTATCAGATAATTGTAAGGATGTTGCCGTTGTAGTGATTGAAGATGATGAGGTTTCTGATCTGTCTTGTGTTCTCATCAAGACTTGTTCTACCATGTCCTCGTCTGTGCTGGCTCTGCTCGACCAGCACTCTAGTGCCGCTGCCATGGGCTCTTGCTGGTCGGTCTCGAGACAAGACCAGGTTGACTAGTTAAGGTTATAGAGGGAGAAAATGAAGGGTTGTTTTGTGTTTGGGTTCAGATTCGAAGTTTGGTCATTGTATAATTACTGGCTGCAGGGAAATGGAGAGGCGTGGGGGCTGTTGAGGTGGTTTGCTTAGAGGGTGAAGTGCAATAAATAATGGGAGGGGGGTATCCTGAAAATAACAGTCGGGTTTGGTAGCGTAGAGGTTTCTTATAATATTTTTTTTAAAAAAAATTAATATTAATATATAAAAAAATCAAAAAAATATTTAAAAAATTAATTTAAAATTAAAAAAATCAATTTAAAAAAAATAGATTCAATCTCAAATTCAAACCAGGTATGTTAGTGCTGGCACGGGCTTTCATTTATTCTTTCTTTTTTTCTTTTCCTTTTTTAAGAAACACGGAGGCTTTAATATAGAAAAATAATGTTTTAATTTTAACTCTGACGGACTCCACCGAAAGACATTGTTTTTTAACTTTTAAGAGGGCAGGTGACGTGTAATTAAACCACTGTTTTTTTATTTTCTCTCGAAAGGGGGAAAAAACACTTATTGGGCATCTTAATTTAAAGTTTAAATTTTTTCTTTTATTTTTTTTCCCAAACTAGTACAATAAAAAAATCATTGTATATGTGCCTAGCATCTTATTATTTTTTTCTCTTTTTTTCTATTTTTTCTTCTAATTTAATTAATGTGCCTACTCGTTTTTTTCTTCTTTACGGATTTCATTTGGCGCTTTAATTATTTTATTTAGTTAATTTTAGTTTTATTATTATAAATTAAACAGATTTTGCTAAAAATAATGGAATAATCTTCTAAAAAGAATAAAAAATGTTATATTTTGCTTGACTTAAATAAAATCAAGTTTTTTTTACGCAAAAAACAATGGATAAAATAATGATAGTAATGGAACTAAAGTTAGCTTAAAAATAGAAATTGAGGGATTATATGCATTTTGAATAGAAAATAAAAAGGGAAATAATTATCAAATTATAAAAAAAAATGATGGAGACATATATGGTATCTTTGTATTTGAATATGCTCATAGCATATTTGTGTTTCTAGTCAAATTGTACTAATTTAAAATTATTTTTTTAATTATGCTAATTTATAAAAAGAAAGATTCTCCGATGTGCTTAGTTTTGAAAAACAAAACTTTGTTTCCTGAAAAAAATCGGTGAAAGATATGTCAAAGAAAATCGTGTATGGATGTTTTAATTAAAAAAAAAACACTTATATTAGAGATAACTGTTTATGGATTGGATGTTTTAATTAGAAAGGGACTTCCCTTTGGTGCATCTATTCGTATTAATTATGTGAATGGCTACAGTTATTTAAAGACATTATAATTATAGTTGTGATGTTTTCAAGTTACAAACTATTTAGTATTTTTTTATTCATTGTATCATTCAATTGATTGATTATCTCATGATTGTACTGATATTATTGTACAAGTACGATTAAGATGCATGTACATTGTTATTAAATACTATTCATTTCGTAGCAAATGATTGTGAACGCCTAGATTCACTTTATTTATTAAAAATAAAATAACTTATCTTACCGTAAGATAAAATATTTGGTTAAAAAAATTTTAAATAAAAAAAATCTTTGTAATGTAAAATAGATTTATCAACCATGTTAAATATAAAATAAATTTAGATTTAGCAGTTAGCTAAATTTGAAATAATACAAGTCTAGCAAGCATGTCACTCTAAAAGATTTAGAGTGTGTTTGGTACTGCAGCAGCTATTGTGATTGTAGTTTGAAAAAGTTATTTTATAAAAAATACTTTCAGTAGAAGTTGGTTTGAAAAACAATATATGTTTAATTAAAACTGTAGTTGAAAATGAGGTTGAACAAAAAATAGTTTAATGTATTTGGTTATAAATATGTTTGAAATTGAGATTATAAAATAATTTTTAAAAATATATATTAATATTTATAGTTTTTAATTTAAATATTGTAGATTTAATTATTGCTATTTTATCATGAAATAAATCATAGTTTATATAAAAAAAATTTATTATTCCATTAAACTATCTACAATTCTATTACATACAAAATTCATCCGATAAGAACTATAGTTTTCATGATTTTATGAACGTGCAATAAAATTAAGTAAAATATTATCAGGAACAAAATTAAGATTACAGTACGAATAAATTTAATTTACCTTCAACTATTTTTTTAAAAAAAATAAAAATTACTATTCATATTTACGTGAACAGTGTGAGTGAAATCAATTAATCATAGATTTTTCAAAAAAAAATACTATAAATTGATATAAAAAAACATTGTTGAGTGAACAGTGCCCCTATTGAGGGATGTTGCATTGTTCAATGAACAGTGCAGCCGCAAATAACAGGTAGCATCTTTTTTCATTTTCCAGCGTTTCAAACACATAATTTGATGGGACCCATGAATAGTATTTTATATTTTTTTAGGTTGTCAAACGTTGTTGCATCTGTGTTTTAAATAAAACGCAGACGCAACAACATAAACAAACAGGCTCTTAGATTTAATAGTCACTCAAGTCCAAGATAGTGTATATTTTGTAAGTATATCAAATTTAAAGAGTTTGGACTTGACATTTAACAAAGCCTGATGCAGAGTGGGTCTAGCAAATATATCAAATCCAAAGAGCATGGGTTTCGAAAACAATCAAGTCCAAAAAAATATAAGTCTGACAAATATGTTACACTCAAAACATTTGGATCAGCTATTATTAAGTTTTAAGACTATTTGTCGTCTTATATAATCCCTTAAAATAAAAGTATTGAAAGTATGATAAACTCTCATATCCCTCAATGTAAAATAATCATTTATATTGATTTCTCTGTATTTGTAAGTGTATATAAGATCTTACAAGAGATCTACTATATTTATTGTTTTCTCAGTCTCACCATTCAATTAAATATTAAATTTATCTTGTATTTAATTTTGATTTATTTTCTTTTAATTATTATTTTAAAAAATCTTTTTGTATAATTATTTTTTTATCAATTTTATTATTCACTATTTAATTTATTAAGAATTGCACTTCATGATTTTTTTATATTGGGTGTTTCATGTTAAATGAATCAAATCACAAGTTTGAAAAATTAATATGTTTTTTTCAAAAAACAAAAAAGTTTTATAATTTTTTTTACTAAATTATTTAAATCACAAGATTTGACTCGTTGATTTGACGAAGTATTCTAAGTTGACTAGCTCTAATTAGTGTGGTGACATTTTTTTTTATTATTCTTTTATGTTCTTCTTTTATCCTATTTAAATATCTACATATGTTTTCTTATATAAAAAAATACGCCATGTAGTGAAACATAGGCAGTTGACAATTAAAACAAATAGGGAAATTATTGTAATAATAAATAACACTTTTCTCACATGTTTTGGTGTTGTTTTATGAAAAAAAAATATTTTTTTTGTTTTTTGATTTTTTTTCAATAAATGTTTTTAAATATTCTTTAATATTATATTTGTTTTTTTTATTAAATTGCCTCATTTTCATTACATGAATTGTAGGTTCGATGAGTTAACCTGATTGGGTAGGTTTTTTTTTCTTTTTCCCAATTTTAACCTTTAATATTGGATCAATTTGGGAATTAGGTTTCATGATTTATTTTCTATTGAATTATTCCAGTCTGATGATCTAGGTATAGTACTTAACAGGTTTACCCGAATTGATCCGAGTTATTTTTTATGTTTTTTTAATTAAGATTTTTTAAAATTTTATCATTTAATATTAGGTTGCTTAATAATTAAGCTTCATAATATGTTATGATTTATTTTTTAAATGGATATATTGGTCTCATGACCAAGGGTTGAGTTTGGGTATTTTAACCCCAGTTAAATCATGTCTTTTTTTTTTTTCTAAAATGTTATTTTGGTCTCGTGTCATTCAACATTGATTTTTTTTATTGGGTTATTCTCATTTAATAACTCAGGTTGCAAGTTTGACAAGTTAATTTAGTTGACTTAATTTGTTTTTTTTTTTCTAATTGACTTTTTTTCCAATTTCATAATTTAATCTTGTGATTAATTAAGAATTATGCTTCATGATTTATTTTAATTTGATTTTTATGAAGTTATTTCGACCTCATAACCCACGAATAATACTTAAAGAGCTAATCCATATTGCTTGATTTCTTTTTATGTTATTTTTAAAATTAAATTTTTTATAAATTTTATCGTTCAACATTGGGTCTAATGGAATCAATTACGAATTAAGTTTTATAATTTATTTTAATTCCCTCTTTACAGGGTTATATTGATTTCATGATCAGAATGATGAATTGGGTTTGAGTCAATTTTTATGTTATTTTTCCAGTTGGTTTTCTTTATACATTCTTCAGTAGGAACTGAATATCATAATTTATTTTGATATTCTTTATATAAGGTTATCTTCATCTTATAATCCGAATTATGAGTTTGACAAGTTAATTCAAGTTATTTTTTTAAAAGCTTTCTTTAATTTTTTTTAATTCATCCTTAAAGATTGAATTAATTAGAAATTAGATTTTATAACTTATTTTCATTTGCTTTCTGTAGGGTTATTATAGTCTCATAACCCTAAGTTACATATTTGATATGTTAACCTAAATTGATAAAAGTTAACCCAATATGTTGTTATTTTAATATTAAAAAAAGATATTATTTAAATTTTTTTTTTTGAACTATGTTTTTATTGGTTATTCAGGTAATTTTTGAATTTATATAGTTAACGGGGTCAGATCGAGTTAGCCTGGCATGGTTTAAATATTTTTTCCACTAAAAAAATATTAGCAATATCTAAATATTTTTTTTATATTCAAGAAAAAAAATAATTTAATCCATAATATGACATGATTAATGATATAATTAATATTTATTTCATATTAAACTGGATGATAGTAACAATAACAAATATACTTACAATTTGTTCTGGAGATGCGGGTTTTTTTTTTTTTTTGGTCTTGGATAGTAAACCAATTCAAACTCTTTTTATAATTAAAGAATGGCAGCTGGCAGCAAAGTTCATGCATGTGTCATGTCTTAAAACTCAGGAAAAAAAAAAAACTTGGGAAGCTTTTCATTTTATAGGTTTTTCAAATTAATTTATATTTTAATAATTGTTCCAACTATTATTGAAATTTTCTGAT